GCGTGCCTGTAATTCCGGCTACCCGGAAGGCTGAGGTGGAAGGATCGCAGGAGCCCAGCAGGTCGAGGCTGCAGTGACTGGGAGCAGCCACTGCACTCCAGTCTGGGTGACAGAGTGAGATTCCAACTCAAAAACAAAAAGCAAAAAACAACAACAAAAAAAATCCGTTTGGGAGGCCGAGGCAAGTGGATTGCTTGAGGCCGCAGGTTTGAGACCAGCCTGGGCAACTTGAGAGACCTTGTCTCTATGATAAATCAAAAATTATCCGGGTGTGGTAGTGCACGCCCGTGGTTCTGGCTACTTGGAAGGCTGAGGTGGAAGGATCTCCTAAGCCCAGCAGGTCGAGGGTGCAATGGCAGTGAGCGTGCCACTGCACTCCAGCCTGGGCAACAAAGTGAGACTCCAACCCTCCCCCCCCCAAAAAAAGTTTGGAAAGTTCTGGTCAGGAACAGTGGCTCACACCTGTAATCCCAGGACTTTGGGAGGCCGAGGCAGGATCACTTCAGCCCAGTTCAAGACCAGCCTAGGCCTCGTAGTAAGATCCTATGTATGTCAAACAAACAAACATCGCTGGGCACAGTGGCTCAAGCCTATAATCCCAGCACTTTGGGAGGCAGAGGTGAGAGAATTGCCTGAGCTCAGGGGTTCAAAACCAGCCTAAGCAACATAGCGAGACCTCGTCTAATAAATCAAAAATTTAGCTGAGCATGGTGGCGCATGCCTGTGGTTCCCGCTACTTGGAAGACTGAGGTGGAAGGATCACCTGAGCCCAGCGGGTCGAGGCTATGGAGGCCGTGAATGTGCCACTGCACACCAGCTTGAGCAACAGAGTGAGACTCCGACTCAAAAAAATAAAAATCAAAAAATGAGCCAAGCACAGTAGTACGTGCTTGTAGTCCCAGCTACTCGACAGGCTGAGGCGGAAGGATCACCTGAGCCCAGAATATGGAGGCTGCGGTGAGCCGTGATCGTGTCACTGTACTCCAGCCTGGGCAACAGAGTGAGACCCTGACTTATAAAAAGAAAGTCTGGAAAGTTCTCCACGCATCCAGTCCCCATACATTGTAGATGAGGAGACTGAGGCCCACAGAGGGGAGGCTCCTTGGCCCCAACCAGAGCCAGGTCTGGAGCTGCGAGCCAAGTCCTCTGCCTTCCCTGAGAGAGAGAGCTCTTTTCCTACTTTCCTGCCTCCCTTGCCTCCCCACCCCTCTGGTTCCGGCTCAGCTGTTCACACACACACACACACACACACACACACACACACACACACACACCCCGTGTCTACTGTTGCAGGTGTTACCCTGTCTCGGACTTTGACCAAGGATGCCCCTGGTTTAAGGTGGTCTGGCCATGAGTGGTGGTGGGGGTCTTTGGAAGGGTAGAAGACAGGCCAAGTGTCTTGGGTGCCTCTTGGAGTGGCCTTGTTTTTCTCCTCCAGGCATCCTCCAAATCCCAGATCATGTCTCTGTGGGGTCTGGTCTCCAAGATGTCCCCTGAAAAACTGCAGCGGCTCTATGTCGACTTTCCCCAACACCTGCGGCATCTCCTGGGTGATTGGCTGGAGAACCAGCCCTGGTGAGTGCCGGCTGCCCCATGCTGGTCCCCCAAGTCCTCCCCTCCCCATCTTCCTTCTCCTTAGGTTTCCTTCCCCCACCCATGGATTTGGGACTTGGGACCTGTTTTTCCATCTGTGGTGGCCTAGATGTAGCAGGGAGTCTGTACCCTGTGAACACCAGGCTATGTATGTTGACACGTGCAGACCCCAGCTCTTAGGACGCTGAGTCAAAAAGGAAGGGGCAGGTGCCGAGTCAAAGAGAAGGCGGCAGGTGCGGTGGCTCACGCCTATAATCCCAGTGCTTTGGGAGGTTGAGGTGGGAGGATTACTTGAGGCCCGTAGTTGGAGATACACAGCGAGACCCTGTCTCTACAAAAAATAAATAAAAAACAAAGTAGTTTTGGAGGGGTTGGAGCTGGGACAAGTGCACTTCTCATAATCCTGAAGGTTGAGGAATAAGGAGCATGGGGGAAGGCTGCAGGGGTCCTAGATGGAGAATAAGAAGGGGGGGAGGGGCCAGGCTCAGTGGCTCAGCCTGTAATTCCAGCACTTTGGGAGGCCGATGCAAGTGGATTGCCTGAGCCCGCGGGTTTGAGACCTGCCCGGGCAACGTGGTGAGACCTCATCTACAATAAATCAAAAACTAGCCGGGCATGTTAGCGGCTACTTGGAAGGTTGAGGCAGAAGGATTGCCAGAGCTCAGCAGGTCAAAGCTGCAGTGGCCAGGAGCGTGCCACTGCACTCCAGCCTGGGCGACAGAGTGAGACTCCAACTCAAAAAAAAAAAAAAGGAATAGGGGAAGGAACCCTTGAGCTTCTGGCTGTGGGCTGGAGGGACAAGAGAGCTAAGGAAGCCCTGGTCTGAGGTTGCCTCTTCCTGATCTTCCCGCAGGGAGTTCCTGGTGGGCTCAGATGCCTTCTGCTGCAACATGGCTAGCGCCTTACTCTCAGCTACTGTCCAGCGCCTGCAGGCCTCGGCGGGAGAGCAGGGCGAGAGGAGTGCCATCCTGCAACACATCAGTACCCTGGAGGTGGGTGGGTGGAGCTGGGGTGAGCACTGGACGCTGGAAGAAAATTGGTTGGATGTTGGAAGTGAACTGGTGTTCCTGCGGTTAGCTGCTAGCTAGCATGCAAATTAGAGGTTAAAAACAGGCAAATACAGGAAAACTTCTGGAGTCTCCAGTTGTGCTGCCTTACAGCGTGTGTAGAAATGGGCCCAGGGTTGGGAAAGGTTGAAAGACACTGGTAAGAGACAAGCTAACTGCCTGCCACCCTCATTTTTGTAGGGCATATATCAGAGGGACCCCTTGAAGCTTGTGGCCACTTTCAGACAAATACTTCAAGGGGAGAAAAAAGCTGTTATGGAACAGGTATTGTGATACTTCCCACCCCAGCTCAACCCCCTGGGACTTTATTCCTGAGGTCCGAGAAACTAGGAAGAGTTTGAACTTTGAGAAAGGCTCTGTGTTCTGGGTCCAAGAATGACCAAAGGTAGTTCCTGGGGTCAGAGTGACTCCCAAGCCAAGCTCAGGGAAGCGTCCAATGAGGGACTAAGGGTGATGAGGCCTGGGGAGGACAGAGCAAGGGGTAGGGAGCTGATTCTGCCAGAAGATTCCAAAAGGCCGGGATGACCTGCCAAAGGTGAGAGGGGATCCAGAAAATGCTGCTTCTCTGCAGAGCAGAGAGTGGATGCAGGGTGCAGGTGGGTGGGCAGATCTCACCTCTTGGCATCTGTCCCTCCCGCGCAGTTCTGCCACCTGCCAATGCCCTTCCACTGGAAGCAGGAAGAACTCAAGTTTAACACAGCCCTGCGGAGGTTGCAGCACCGAGTGGGGGAGATACGCCTCCTCCGAGAAGCCCTGAAGCAGGGAGCTGAGGCTGGCCAAGGTGGGGGCTGGGGCTGGAGCCCTACGAGGGTTCTCAGGGTGTGTGGGGTGAGAGCCTCTTGAACGGCAACCTTGGCTGAACCTCCCATCTACCTGCCCCTACCCTCAGTGTCGCTGCACAGCTTGATCAAACCTCCTGCCAATGGGACGGAGCCAAATGAGGTGAGTAATGAACTGAGAGGTGGAGTCTGAGGTCAGAGTGCAGCTGGAGGGACGGAAGTTAGACCTCAGAGAGACAGACTGAGGTGGGGTAAGAGAATGCCAGAGAGGTGGAAGAGTTGGATGAGGGGGCAGTGTGAGGCCCTGGCTCAGGCACCCTACCGCCCGTAGGCGCTGGCCACACTCCTGCAGGAGACCGTGGGGGAGCTGGAGGCGGCCAAGGCCCTAGTGCTTAAAAGAATCCAGATTTGGAAACGGCAGCAGCAGCTGGCGGGGAATGGCGCGCCCTTTGAGGAGAGCTTGGCTCCACTGCAGGAGAGGTTGGGGCAGGGCTGGTGGGGAGAGGGGCAAGCTGGGGGTGGGTTTCCCTGCCAGAGGACCCACGGGTGGGAGGGAGAACCCAGTGGGAGGGCCTCTGAGTAGCCAAGAGGCGAAAAAGCCAGTTACCACAGGCTGTGCACACAGTTGTTCAGGTTGCATCCTGTGCAAGGTGCCCAGTTGAGGGGCACATGTGGGGGCTCGTCCAACCCATGCTTCCCTCTTCAAGCCCCATGCCCAGAGGAATAAGGAGCCTTTCCCATCTGACCTATTGGCTGGGAGCACTTTCCAATTGGCCCAAAGCCTCTCTCTGTGTTGGCTGCTGTCCTGTGTACAAGAGATCTGGGAAGAGGCAGCCAGGTGTCCACGGGGAGGCTAGACATGGGAATGAACCTCCCACCCAGATCCTAGGCAGGTCCCAGAACCTACTTCAATCTAGGTGGCTGGCACCCGTACCCGCTGCCCACCTGCCCCTTCACATGCTGCTTTCTCCCTGGGTTTAGGGACAGGGGGTCTGGGCCAGCGCAAGCAGCCTGAAACCTGTGCCCCCTGACCACTGTCCTGGCCCCAGGTGTGAGAGCCTGGTGGACATTTATTCCCAGCTACAGCAGGAGGTAGGGGCGGCTGGTGGGGAGCTGGAGCCCAAGACCCGGGCATCGCTCATTAGCCGTCTGGATGAGGTCCTGCAAACCCTCGTCACCAGGTATGCCCCGTGAGCCCTCAGCCTGGCCCAGATCAGACCCCAAGGAAGGAAGGGGGCTAGAGTTATGGGGAGGGTGCCGGGCAGGTCCCAACCCCTAACTCTTCTGTGTCCCCCTCACTCCCCCCAGCTCCTTCCTGGTGGAGAAGCAGCCCCCCCAGGTTCTGAAGACTCAGACCAAGTTCCAGACTGGAGTTCGATTCCTGCTGGGCCTGCGGTTCCTGGGGACCCCAGCCAAGCCTCCGCTGGTCAGGGCCGACATGGTGACTGAGAAGCAGGCCAGGGATCTGAGTGGACCTCAGGGGCCCGGGTCTGGCGCGTAAGCTGGGGCTCGATCTGGGACTGGAGACAACCTGTTGGGGGGATAGAGGCGAGAGGAGTCTTGGGTGCTGGCACCACAAAGAGTAGGGGGATGGGCTGGCCATGGGATGGGGAGACTCTGAATGGTCACAGCAGAGGAAGGGAAGGGATCATTTAGTGCTACATGGGGTGGGAGCATCGTGATTTGGGACAGATGGGGACAGATGAGTCCCTTAAGAACTCAAGCAGAGCTGGGTGGGGTGGCTCACGCCTGTAATCCCAGCACTTTGGGAGGTGGCGGTGAGAGAATTGCCTGAGCCCAAGGGGTCAAGACCAGCCTGGGCAACATGGCGAGACCTTGTCTCTACAATAAATCAAAAAATTGGCCAGGCTCGGTGGCTCAGCCTGTAATCCCAGCACTTTGGGAGGCCGAGGTGAGTGGATTGCCTGAGTCTGCAGTTTCGAGACCCACCTGGGGAACTTGGTGAGACCTCATCTCTACAATAAATCAAAAACTAGCCGGGCATGGTAGCGCGTGCCTATAATTCCGGCTACTTGGAAGGCTGAGGTGGAAGGATTGCAGGAGTCCAGCAGGTTGAGGCTGTGGTGGCCGGGAGCGGCCACTGTACTCCAGTCTGGGCAATGGAGAGAGACTCCAACTCAAAAAAAAAATTATCCAGGCATGGTGGCGCATGTCTGTAGTTTCAGCTACTTGGAAAGCTGAAGTGAAAGAACCACCTGAACCCAGCAGGTCAAGGCTGCAGTAGCCGTGAACATGCTACTGCACGCCAGCCTGAGTGACAGAGTGAGACTCCGACTCAAAAAAAAAAAAAGAACTCAAGTGGGGACATGGAGGTTTAGGACCAGTGACAGCAAGTAGTCTACACCATTCACTCATGCACTCAAGCTCCACCCCACACCTGGCCAAATTGGGGTGAGTTCATTCACACTCTGACTGTGCCCCCCCACCCGCAGAGAAAGCACTGGAGAAATCATCAACAACACCGTGCCCTTGGAGAACAGCATACCTGGGAACTGCTGCTCTGCTCTGTTCAAGAACCTGGTGAGGGCTTCAGGGTGGGTGGGCGGTGAGGGGGACACCCGAAGAGTGTGGGACTCTCCTGGGAGGGGTGCGAGGGGCCAGGAGAGGCGGTCTCTGCCCTCATACCTTCAGCCCTGCCCTCCCTCACCCCGCCTGGCAGCTTCTGAAGAAGATCAAGCGGTGTGAGCGGAAGGGCACCGAGTCTGTCACCGAAGAGAAGTGTGCCGTGCTCTTTTCCACCAGCCTCATGCTCAGTCCCAGCAAGCTCCCTATCCAGCTCCAGGTGACCCATGCCCTAGTCCTGCGCCCTCCATGCCCCAGCCCTGCCCCCATATGGGACCTCAAGTCCCCTTCTGTGCTGCACTCAGGGGTCCTGGGTCCTCACCTCTTGACTGTCCCACACTCCATGTGTCCGGGATCTGTGTGCACTGTGAGGCCGGGGCGGGTGGGGAGGAGTGAGACCTCGGAGTGTGCCTAGCAGGGAATGGCCCAGTGTGCCAACGGACACTTACAAAGCACTTTTTACAGACCAGGGCACTTTTGTAAGTGATACACACACGTTTGGTTTTCACAATAATATTTTGAGGTAGGCACTATTACTAGCCTCATTTTGTAGACAAAGACATGGAGACACAGAGAAGCTAAGTAGTTTGCTGCAAAGTCTTGGAGCTGGAATTTGAAACCTGGCAGTCTGGCTCCATCTCGGTGACTCATAACCACTTCTTTTTTTTTTTTTTTATTTGAGTTGGAGTCTCACTCTGTCGCCCAGACTGGAGTGTAGTGGCCGCTCCCGGCCACCGCAGCTTCAACTTGCTGGGCTCCGGCGATCCTTTCGCCTCAGCCTTCTGAGTAGCCGGAATTACAGGCATGCGCTACCATGCCCGGCTGATTTTTTGATTTATTGTAGAGATGAGGTCTCGCTGCCCAGGCGGGTCTCGAACCTGCGGGCTCAGGCAATCCACTCACCTCAGCCTCCCAAAGGCGTGGGATTACAGGCTGAGCCACCGAGCCCGGCTCATAACCACTTCTTTACAGTAAGGCCCTAATTGAACTTCAGAGAACATTAATAAGCCGGGCGCAGTGGCTCACACATGTATTCCCAGCACTTTGGGAGGCCAAGGCAAGAGGATTGTCTGAGCCCAGGAATTCGAGACCAGGCTGCGCAACATGGTGAGACCTCATCTCTACAATAAGTTAAAAAATTAGCCAGACATGGTGGGGTGAGCCTATAGTCCAAGATACTCAGGAGGCTGAGGCAGAAGGATCGCCTGAACCCTGTGGTAGCCATGATTGTGCTACTGCACTCCAACCTGGGCAACAGAGTGAGACTGTCACTCAAAACAAACAAACAAAACAAAGCAAAACAAAATTAATAATGTGCCATGAGTCTTTAGACTGTTGTGTGAGCCCCATAACATAACTTCTCTACATTCTCGGTAGGATTTCCCCTAAGGAAAATCCTTACTCTCTGTCCTCACACCCTTCAGGCCCTATCTCTGCCCCTGGTGGTCATCGTCCACGGCAACCAAGACAACAATGCCAAAGCCACCATCCTGTGGGACAATGCCTTCTCTGAGATGGTGAGGAAGGATCTGGAGTTGGGGGGAACAGGGCAGAGGAGGCTCTGACACAAGGGGTTGGCATAGGCTTTCCAGTGGGGTGGCAGGCATGTTCCAGTGAATATGACTTTCACTCCTTCTCATGGGTCTGCTGTTGTACTTCTGAGCTCTTTTCACCCAAGTCTTCATAAATGTCCTGCACTAGCACCATAAACTGCTATTGAAAAGGTGCCCAGGCCGGGCGTGGTGGCTCAAGCCTGTAATCCCAGCACTTTGTTTTTTTTTTGGTTTGTTTGTTTTTTTGAGTTGGAGTCTCACTGTCACCCAGACTGGAGTACAGTGGCGGCTCCCCGCCACCGCAGC